TCTACAGCGAAGGGTGAATTGCTCGGCCGAATCAAGTATACCAGATGGGCAATTAAACTATCCAGCATTTGTTATTACTTTTACAGTTCTATCGAATTCTCAGACCTATACCAGGACAGTAACAAATGTTGGTGAATCTAAATCCTCGTACACTGTCAAAATTTTTAGTCCACCTGGCGTTGATGTGCGTGTTGAGCCCACAACACTGAATTTCTCTGAGCTCAACCAGAAGATGATATATCGAGTGACATTCAATCGATTGGCTTCTTCAGGAAACAATACTGTTGTTCAAGGTTATCTTGTATGGAATTCAGACAAGCATTCTGTACGAAGTCCTATAGCAGTTATACTGTCCTAGATGTGTCTCTAATTACAACACTCAATTTCAGTGTTGAGATTACAAATTTGGACGTCTGAATAAGGACCCTGAAATAAGTAAATGTAGTTTGTTTCTCAATTTGGAGTACGTACTTGTAATTTACTGTGATGTTATGCATTATAAGACGCAGATCTAAAAATCTCTAGTTAAAACTTCTGCTTTCTGACAATCTAGTACTCTTGTTTCTTAATTATGAAATGCACGGAAATCGCATATTTTCGTTTAGTAAGGCCCAAATTTCCAAATATTACGAATATCCAACAAATGAGGATTCTTAATATGCTTGTTTTCCAATTAAGAATATCTGCCCACCTGTGAAGTCAATAAGCTCATTCAATTTTACTTGTAGCACGCTACAAGTGGAGCAAGTTTCAGTATCTAAGCAATAAATTATTAACAAAATTTTAGTTTCGTTTTCTTCTTTTATTAGGGTACGATATTATCTTCTAAACTACTTTTAAATACAATCAAACAAGCTCTTAGATTGTGGCCCATAGAGTTTCTAAACAGATCGAAGCTTTTGAACAATTTTTAATAACTGTTGTTGGGATAGGTGTCCAATAATGTTAGGACATAACTTTGATTTATAACGGAATACATGAAATCCAAGAAATCCTCATTAGCTAATAACGACGAAGCTAACCCATTGGCTACTTTGTTACTTCTAAAGGCACATAGCAATTAAAACAACTTCTAACTTTCCTAACTAACTATTCGATATCACAAAAAAGACTTGCATTTGGGACGATAGAGAAATATAAAAGGGAGTCCATTTTCCTTCGTTAATAGGAGCCTATCCCGTGACGCCACAGCTTCAGCATCTGCCACAGAAGCCATCCCCTCTTGGCAAATGCCACCATCACCTGTACCACCGCGTTGGTTTCTAATTTCGGGGGACCCCCAACCTGTGGTCTAGACCAAGGTCAAATTGCTGTTTCTTATTATCAAAAGTTCAACATATACTATTCTATGCAAAATTTAAGTAATGCTGTTGACAATACTAAAGAGATGTACAAAATTTAACAAGATATTTCATTTGTTATACCAATATTTCACGAGGTATGAGCGGTAAAATCGGGATTCCACCACGATGATTGGACATTATGTCTACTCCTTGAGGGATGTCACGAGACCGACAAAGAAACCCTGAGCATTCCAATATAAAA